AAGAAAGAAAGAAAGAAAGAAAGAAAGGTAAGGTCAATTAGGAAACAATGGGGACCAATTCTATTTGGGAAGCAAATAGGGATCTTTCAAATATGGAGCAATAACACCATTTGGGAAACAAAGAGTGCCACAAGGGAGCAGCCACTTGATTTTGTCTAGCTTCATAAGATAATCAGGTGTATGTTTGCTTAGTACCTGTATGAGTAATTACTAAGAAATCCTAGGCTTTAAACTACACTGGAAAAAGAACAGAAAAAAATTCATGACAAAAGTGCAATTGCAAATTATTTCCATAGTCTTGCCAGGAAAATTGCATGAATGTGTCCAGGAAGATACTATGAGTTGAATAAAAGAAGACATGCTTTGCATATACAGAGCTCTATTCAATCTTCTGCCTCAAGGACTGTGATTGTGAAAGACCCATGCTCGGAACAATGAGAGTGTGCTAATGAAGACGGGGCTAAAATAAAGACCTGAGTGTAAAGGAAGAGCCACCGTTGCTAGTTGTACCCACCCAAGGACTGTAACTCAATAAAGAAGAGCATCGAGTGCTATGCCAATAACCTCATCCCTTCTTTCTCTTTCTGGATGTTATAGTTGTTGGCAGTGCGCTCTCTGGAATGCAGAAATCTCTGTCAATGTCTGTCATTGGATGGAATGCTGCTTACTGCAAAATGCTAAAACAAATTAATGGAAATACTGGTTCCAAAGCAGATCACCCTTTTAGAAAGTGAGACCAACAGGAATCTTGAAAGCACAAGGCTTCATTTTATGGATCCATGCTCACAGTAAGAAAAAACAAATTGCAACTGGGAATTTGAACATGGGCCTCCACATTCCATGGCCAACATTTGTTGTTTTTCATTTCAAGGAGACTTGCAAGAGGTCCTTTCTTTTGTTTTTAGAGCTTATGTGACACTTTGCATTTTGTCTTCTAGGTCAGATACTGGGCAAAGAGTAGATGTAGTCAGAGTGGGCTTTGGGAATTACAAGAAGGTGTTTGGGGACTCCATGCTATCACTGCAGATGTAAACCTCCAATGTTTGCTTTACTGAAGGCAAACATTTAGAAGGTTGTGCTCCATTAGTTTAAATTCCCCATACAAGTCTAGTAAATGTCATATTTCATCCCAATTATAAGAAAATTGTATTTGGAGTGCACAAGAAAAATCACATTACCTTTCTAGGTGGATCCACATCAGGGCAATCTGGTACAGGAGTTGAGAAAACAATTTCTGTAGTTCTTGGAGTTTCTGGAGTAACAGTTGTAGAACTGAGAAGAGGCAATGTTCCTGAGGTTGTAACTGATGGACGGGGAGTCGTTGTAGGGCAGAATACTGGATACCTCTTAATTTCACAATTTGCATCACAGATTGCAATAAAATGGCATCCAGAACTATCTGTTCTGTTATATATTACTTCCCCTGTTTAAAAGAATCAATAAATTAAAAAGTAGCATGCACAAATGCCATGAACCCAAACACATAATTAAATGTTAAATGCATGTGTAATTCAAACATTATGTTTTTGATCACAACATGTCATTCTAATCAAGTTTATGCAGACATAAATCCGGTATACTGTATAAGCATCAGGATGATGATTCAAGATGTGTTCTTTGAATGGAACTGGAAACCATTGTTTTTAGTGGGTATTACTCCCCAAAAATTGTGGATGATATTACAGCTTTTGTGATTTATCATGAGCAAATATCAATTCCCAGGAAGAGAGAGAGAGAGAGAGAGACAGAGACAGAGACTAGCTTGAGGATCAATAACCATTCCTTTTCCTTGTCTAGCCCCAAATGGTGCCGGACAGAGATGGATAAATAATTTATTCCACCCCATTGCAAAAGTTTCCTGAATCTAAGGGAGACTAAAAGGCTATAAGCAAGCCAAAACTCATAGTTTAAAATATTAAGCAAAATTATTAATTATTGAAAATTAACACTTTTATTAAGAAAAAAGTTTCCTCATGAGGTCAGGAAAAATACACATCAAAAGGCACATATTAACAGAAATGTTCACAAAAACCATCCATATTATACAAACTGGGAGAATAAGAAAAATGCCTGAAAATAGAATTTATACCCTTGTCCATCTCAAGTCTGAGGATCCTGGAAAGACACAAAACTCATTATCCAAATGCTGGGGAGCAGAGTGGCAAAGTATACATTGCTCTCCCCATAAAAGGAATGACTGGCATATGGTAATGAGTCTCTAAGGACCAATATCCTAAAATAAAACATTCAAAATAGGAACTGATGCTTTCAGGTGCATTATAAAATAAGAAAATGTTAAATGTCTGAATAAATGAGAGCATTTTCATTAGCTTCTCAGTAAAACAGCTTTCCCCAGATAAAGCAGTCGAAAACTATAATGTACTTATGTGGAAGGGTGAACTCTAAATACATGTACCGTAAAAGCATTTTCTGAATGAAACTCACCAGGAGAAAATAAAGAATCAGGAGTTCCAGATACATGGCAGAAACATGGAGTTGCTCTGCTTAAAGTAGTTGCTAGAGTGGAACCTGTTATTTGACAAAGACACAAAATATAACATAGAAGTAACCAAATGACAGGAGATTGATACCAACTGGAATTGTAATACCAAAATTTAAAACTGCCCTTCATAAATTATGGCAAGAAAAAACTCCCTAGCACTAAAAAAATCAAAGTTAATTCAAAAATTCTGCAATTACATTTAGGACAACAGCTTTATGCTTAGTAGAGTCATTCACCACTGACTATTTCAAATCCATATTTATTGAAAATACTGTTAGAGAAATCCAGTCCTAGACCACATATTGTAGCATGAATAAAGCAAACCTGAATGAAGAAGTAGTTTCCTTAAAACATTGGAGCAAATGCAATTTCCCAATAAAAAAGATAAATTGTCACCACAGCAAAATCAATAAATATGCATTGAAAATGGGCCTGAAATGTCTTGCTGAAAACATGTAAGATAATAATGAAAATGACATTATATACTTTTCTTTCCTCTCTCTTTTTGGTATCATCAAAAAAATATTTGACAGACTAAGTTGACAGTGAAATAGAAAGAGTTGTAGTTGTTTACTTACCGGTTGATATTCCGAAACTCGTAGAGACAAGTGTTGACAGTGGAGGAGAAAGAATTGTGGTTATCTGCTTTCCTGTTGTTACTCCTGTGCTTGTAGACACCAGGGGTGTGCTTGTGGAAACAAGTGTTGACAGTGGAGTAGGAAGGGTTGTCGTTGTTTGCTTTCCTGTTGTTACTTCTGCACTGGTTGACATCAAGGTGGTGCTTTGGGTTGCAGTCGGTGTCGTTGATATAATTCCAGAGGTGACTGCTCGTGTTGATGGTGGAGTAGGAAGGGTTGTCGTTGTTTGCTTTCCTGTTGTTACTTCTGCACTTGTAGACACCAGGGGTGTGCTTTGACTGGTGGTCGATATTGTGTGTGGTAGGGTGGATGAACTGGATGTTGTGGAAGTGTATTGTGTTTTGGCTGATGTAGGTTTGGAAGTTACTGATGTTGTGAGTGGTTGGCAATGGCTGTAATCACAACACAGGAATTTCACCTGGTAGTTGACACATTTATATGGTTTTTTTGTCTGCTCGCTATGGTTGCACACAAGTCCAACCTTGACATTGCAATGGAGATTCTGATCAGGGGCAGGATTTGTAGTGTGTGCGTAGTCCTTTGCCTGACATTCAATGTCTTGGGGATGCTCACAAACCAGTCCACGTGCTCGTATGTCTTCAAAGCGCTCAAAATCACCATCAGGGCTGGTTTTTGGATTGTGGTCATCAAACCATTGGGTCCACTGGCATTTAGGAGGGCAGGATGTAGATATGGGCTGCATTGAACTTAGTGTAGAAGGCTGGGAAGTAGGGACAGTGGTCCCAATAACTAGTGGAGTAGTAGATTCAGGTATATAAGGTGGTGATGTTTTTGTTTCAGCAATTGATGTTGTTCCTCCAGTAGTTTTAGTAGCAGGTGTTGCTGTCAAAGGACCACATGGTTCTAAATTGCAACAGTAGAATCTGACCTCATAGTTGTAGCATACTGGTGGAGTCTGATCCTTGTTATTGCAAATCAAGCCATCAGTTGGTGTGCATATTACATTTTGACTGAGAGAATGCAATGTTTCATCGGGAAGTTCTTTTGCTCTGCATTCCACTTTATCTGGATTTTTGCAAAGATTATGTCCTTTGGCTCTTATGTTTTCTGGAGTTTCATAATCTCCACTGGTTGATTCATATGATGGATAGTTAAGATCATACCAACCCATCCATCTACAAACTTTATGCACACACATTGTTGTTCTGGTTGGAATTGATTCTGTAATAGAAAACATAATTGTTTCAATAATATGTATCTACATTTATTCTCTAAATGTAGATACCTTTAAAAAACAGCAGTACTCTTTGTGATGCTTTTATCTTTAAAGAAACAAAATAGAAAAGATATTTATGTACAGGTATTCCTTGACTTACAATAGTTCATTTAGTGAGCCTTTGAACTTATATACTGAAAAAAGTGACTTATGACCATTTTTCATACTTATGACTATTGCAGCATCCCCATGATCATGGGATTTACATTCGGATGTTTGACTTACATTTATGACGGTTGCAGTGTCTCAGAGTCATATTTTCCTTTGCTTTGGAAAATATTTAATGTACTTTAAACTTTGAATATCAGTAATAAAAATAATAATAATGAAATTGTAAGTGTATGCAAATTCCTCTTGATACTTAATTTTGTCCTGTCCTGAATCAGATAGCAGACTTTAGGAACTGTTTATACTGTACAATTGTTGGATTGCTCTGTCATTAGCTTTTGTACTTTTTTTTAAAAAAAAGGAGCTGGTGCTTTACATCTTTTATTTTTTAAAAAAATGTATTGCCTTATAAATAAATTGAAAGAAATTAATACATCAATTTTATTAAGATTTGAAATTCTTTTTCAGTCAACACATTCAAAATATCAGACTTAATATGTTTCTGGTGAGAACTGAGAATGGACCCAGGCTGTCTATAATATCTACGTCACATTGTGACATTAACCAATAGTTGTTGTTTGCAGTACGTAATAAATTATCTACAGCAGGAAGGCTACCTGCTGCAGACAAGAGATCAGTACCGTGATTTCTTGCTCTTTAGGGATGGGACCTTACATTGAAGGTATAAGCACTATCAATCACTCTCTCCATCTGCATGAGAATATATCATCTTAACAGGCTTCGGTCTTCTCTGAAAATTTCTGCTCTTTTACATTCACTCTGATACTTTTTGTTTACAAAGGTGGGAACATACTATACAGAAAGATGTTGATTAATTTCTGCAAAATTCAATATTCCATCATTGGAGGAAGAAGATTTCTCTGAAATCACAAGATACTTGCAGTATAATTTATTAAGGCCTTTGGAATTTTAAAAATACCTAATAGTTGTATTCTCTTTGCAGTTATTCATGTAGAACTGGTAGGGCTGATTCACATTTTAGTTCATTTTAGCCTTTGCCAGTATCTAATATTCTCTAATTCAGAGCTGTCAAACTCCCACCCCATGGGCCAGATGCGTCACACACTGGCTACACCCACGCATGGTTTAGCAAAAGGGAAAATAATCCCAATACGTCCTGTGACGCACCATGATGACATGAGTTTGATACCTCTGCTCTAGTTGTACTGGGCAAGTATATTGGAAAAGGACCAATGTCAGAAAAACTGGTGTCATATCCAAACTATGGAGTGAAATACCTGTTCTACTTGAAGTTGTGAATTCAAACGGTGGTTTTGTGGTAATTCCAGCACATTTGTAGACTTCTCTATTGATTGTTCCATTGATGCCACAAACTGCAGTTATACAAGAACCCAAGCCATCCGTGGTATTGTAAATGACTTCATTGTAGTTATACCTCTTTCCTTCGTAGTAGCAGTAGCAAGCTGCATTTAGAAATAACAATGTGAGTCTAGACAAAGTTGTATCAAACAATTTTATGGTGCTATTAATAAATATTTTCAAGTTACCGTTAGTATCATGTTCACAGCTAATAATGCCTTCATTGGTACATTTGCTGTAAGAAACAACAATAACATATGATTCATTAAAAACATGTTCCAATTTTTCCTACTAAATTCCACTGAATAGCTTTGCTTGCATCTATCTCAAATAGGAACATTCTTTTTAACACCTCTGATGAATATCATTGGAGGTGTTATGCTGAAATATGGTTCTCTAGCAACTGAAAGAAAGGGTATAATAACTTCAACATTTTGGTTCTCTAAAAAGTGCCTGGGTTTGAAATCTGAATGCCATGCAAAATGGTGAGCTCCCATTACTTGTTCCAGTTCCTGCCCACTTAGCACTTCAAAAGTATGCAAATGTGAGTAGAGTAATAGGTACCAATTCAGTGGGAAGGTAACAGCCTTCTGTGTGCCTTTGGTGTATAGCCATGAGGGCCACATGACTACAGAAAATTATTTGGACAATGCTGGCTCCCTTGATCAAGAAATAGAGATAAGCACTGTGCCCTAGAGTGAGACATGACTGGACAGGGAAAACTTTACCTTTTATATGGCTATTAACTTACTGAAAATGGGAGGCATCAATTACTACAAGAATTGAAATTTATGTAAATTACTTGAGGAAATATTATTGAACATTCATATGGTATAGATATTAGTGTATAACTGAATCTTTCATATATCTATATCTATATCTATATCTATATCTATATCTATATCTATATCTATATC